TGACTCTTGATCCTGATACAGCACATCCTACACTCATCCTGTCTGATGATGGGAAACAAGTCAGTCATGGATATGTGAAGAAGAATGTCCCAGACAATCCAGAGAGATTTTCAAATTCCATTTGTGTCTTAGGAAAGCAGAGTTTCTCTTCAGGCAGATTTTACTTTGAGGTTCAGGTTAAAGGAAAGACTAAATGGACTTTAGGAGTGGCCAGAGAGTCGATCAACAGGAAAGAGAACATCCAGCTGAGCCCTGAGGATGGTTACTGGACTATTTGGTTGAGAAATGGAAATGATTACAAAGCTCTGACTAACCCTCAGTCCGTCTCTCTCTGAAGTCTCGGCTTCAGAAGGTGGGGGTGTTTGTGGATTATGAGGAGGGTCTGGTCTCTTTTTATGACGTAGATGCTGCAGCTCTTATCTACTCCTTTACTGGCTGCTGCTTCACTGAGAAACTTTACCTGTACTTTGGTCCTTGTCCTAACGATGGTGGTAAAAACTCTGCACCTCTGATCGTCACTCCTATCAATCACACTTAGTAGACCAGCTATTTGATTTTCCATGAAAGCAATCAGTGTAAAGTAGTTTTGTTATTGCATCTTGTTTGTCTTCAATGTATCCCACTATCACTCACTGCCACAACATGCTCATGTGTGACAATCAATGAATAAGAGAACAATTTTTTAAGGTAAATGTTGATAAAACCAAGGTACTTTTGGTTGGTCCTAAGTCTAAAAGAGATACCGTTCTTGGTAATGTTGGGAACATGGCGCACCAGACCAAAACAAAAGTAACTAGTCTAGGTGTTATCTTAGATGCAGACCTTACCCATTTAAAGAAGTCAGCCAAACAGCTTTCTTCCACCTGAGAAACAATTGTGGCCTTTTTTAACACAAGATGCTGAAATATTAGTCCATACTTTAATCAATAGTAGGTTATAACAGGAACTGATACACAACTCTGAAGCTAGACTCCTTACTAAGACCAAGAAGAGAAAGCACATCAACCCGCTTTACCCAAATTGCATTTGGTCGTTGTTACTTACAGAATCGATTTTAAAGGTTCTGTTAATTACTTTTAAAGGCCGAAATGGCTTGGCACCTTTATATATCTCTGAACTTTATAATACCTTATCAATCACAAAGGAACCTTAGATTCTCTTATGACGAACTTTTAATTTTGCCCAAAGTACTGCACAAGCAAAGCGGGGAGGCTTCCTTTTGCATTATGTACCAAAATTATGGAACACCTTGCACAAATATATTAAACAGGCTAGCTTTGTCAACATCTTTTAAAAAGAGCTGAATAGCAATATGAGCAGGCATTTCGTTAACTCTCCCCGTGAGCTCTTGCTTCTCTCCAATCTTAACCATTAATACTGTATTCTTTATGTACATATACCTCTGAGAAGTTTTGTAAAAAGTCATTCGTACTATGGTTTTATGGTACTATGGTAATTTATAATTTTCTTTTACTTTGACTCGTTATATTTTACCAAAATTAGCTTTATTATCATGGTCCTAAAAGACTGCACTTACACAAGCTATATTTGCACTGCATTGCTTTACTATTTAATATATATCAAATTTTATATTTTTTTTCTGTGTGGCTATATTGGTTTTAACTGTGCTAGGCTAATATATTTTTTTGTCTTGTTTGCAGGTAACTGTCATTTCTACATTTTTCATCTGCTTCGTTTCTCATCTGTTTTGTTTGAAATGCTCTAGATGTAAAGCACTTTGAGCTGCATTGTGTGTAATAAAAGGGCTATACAAATAAATAAAAAAATGTTATTATTATTATTATTATTATTATTATTATTATCATCATTATCATTATCATTATTATTATATGTTGTTTAAGGACACTTGACATCTGACCTATTTTGTTGTTTAGGTACGAGGATGTGTCGTCCTTAACATTTGTGTGGACTCCACATATGAATTGGGCTTCACAGTGAATTGTCTGACCAGTGTAAAAATGTAAATAGATTAAAAAACGCTAAACACAGATTCATGAGTACAATATTTTGCAATCTGTGTGTTTATGTTAATCTTACATTAATTGTGTTTTTTATATCTTTATACAGAATACTGAACTCACATTCATCAGGTGGACAGAAAAACAACTCGGGGTGACTGTGTTGCTCTGCTTCTGCTGGATGTGTAAATGGACAACTGTTTGCACACATCAGAAGTTGTAAAAAATAAATGCTTTTAAGACAATACAGACAAACAGTTCAGGCACAAAAGTCAACTGTGTTTATTCCACACTAACGAAATTACAAGAACTCAAGATTAGAAACAGTTATCTCTTGACAGCCCTCATATATTTAGGATATTTATGACAGGCATTACACACACTACTGTAAATATGTTTGTATTTAGTGTCCCTGCTTATACCTATGTTTATATTACATATTGTGCATAGCCTATAGCTACGTGTTTCTACGTCACCATGATAACTAAAATACCTAAAATAAGTAAGTATTACTTATTATCAGTATTTTTCAGTATTCAGTATAACTAAGATACTTTATTTACTTATTTTGCTCTAATCTTTTTTCATTTAAATACCTCTTTATTGGACGTTTTACCTCTTAACCCCTCTTGTGCTGCTAGAACATGTGAATTTCTCTTCTCTGGAATTAATACAGTATCTTATCTTATTCTATTCATCCTTATTAATAACTACTTAATAATATATCAGTAACATTGCTGGTCACATTTACTCAGAATGGGTATCTGTATTTTTATTACCAAACTGGTGGCTGTTAGACGTTCTTCCCCTTTTATAAATTATTATTATATAATCAGAATGGGCTCAATTGAAAGACATGATAATGTTACAATATGAGCAGCACGGAACAGATGAATACCCAATAAAATGTGGGGGGAAAAACCCAATACAATTAGTCAGTGTATTATTTTATTGTAATATCTTTTTATATTGTATTGAAATATATTTTTTAATTGTATTTAAATGTCTTTTATATTATATTAATATACATATACTTAATGTGCGGCTCCAGAGACTCAATGATGTGCTGCACACTTGTTCAGCAAACATATGTGTTAGGTTTGGCCCCCTTTTCGTTAACATGCTGTGAGCAGGGTTTTGTCCATTAATCTCTGGATCCAGAGCAAGAGCAAGACCTCCACCACTGGACTGCTCAGATACACTGAAGGGAAGGCTTTCAAGTTTCTTTGTCAATCATGTCTTATTCTGACAATAAAAATGGCTCCTAAGCACCAATAGAAGGCATGTTTAGCTTATAAACATGTTTTTTGTGATGGCTACTCTGCTGTTGAAGAATAAAATAAATGAGCAGCCAAAGAATTGTGCTGTGAAAGACTTAATATCATGTTAACAATGATTGCATTTAAAAACACTAACAACATAGAATTTTGAAAGTAACCACTGAAAGTCAGTAAGGACTCCACATTTTGTTAGCATCAACAACAAACAGCTCTGTAAATTTGCAAGCTTTAATATTAATGTATCGTAACTCAAATCAATGTCAGGCATATTAAGTAGTACTCTGAGGACTGTTCTTTATATATTTATCAATGCAGCTGTTCTTATCAAATGAAACAGGCACTTCACTCCTGGTTTCAATAGTAAATGACAATTACCAACAAAGAAACACTATATTCTAAGCAGACACGTTTAACAAAACATAAATCACAAAGTAACTTTAGTGTTTCAAACAAATAGGAGACATAGGAGCAAATTTTAACAAAACTTTCTTCACTGCCATGCATCATGGGAATTCTGAGGCACGGGGTGATATAGAGCAGCCTAAGTCCATCCCTCTATATTTAGTTTGTTACCATTAAGTTCAAACACCATAGGCTACAGGTGTTTAAAGTTGAAACCAGTTAACACTGGTGCCAGCTGCAGGATCCGAATCCACAATTGGGATGGAGGTGCGGCTCAGGAGACTGATCAGTAACTAACTGCATCACCAGCCAGCCTGGTTGTAATGATGCAATTTGATGTGTTGTTGATACAAAAAGTGTATAGGCATAATAAAAAAGCTTTACAGCTATCATTTGGACTTTTTAGTTAGTGCTTGAGTAGCTGAGCATAAAAATATACCTCTTGTTTCCAAACTGCAAACAGGGAGGAAGATACAGCAAGTTAAAGAATATAATAATACAATGAAAGGGGGAGACCTCAGCCTGCAGCTACAACAGGGACTGAATGGGAGAGACTTTCCAATCAGTTAAGGATCAGAGAAAAAAAACTAAACGTCCACTGAGCAGGATTTGACATTTTGAGGGAGAAAAGGCATGTGGCTACATTTTGGTGCCTTTTTGTGCTTATAGAGATAAATATACGCGACTAGCAGCAGTTTACAAAATAATTTCTGGTCTGCAAAATCCTCCTGTCTCCACTCTAACTGATCACATGACACGCTGGTAAAGTCTGCTAAAAGCTGTAAAACCCTTCACTTTGGAAGGGCACTAAACATTTTTTTTTAGCAAACACCAAATACAACTTTGAAAGATCAACATCTTTTCTGCAACTTTCAGCTGAAATTGAGTCTCTAACTGCACATATGCCGGAGCACTAAGCTCTTAAATTTGGAAGAGTGGAGTCCCTGCTCCCATAGGAACCATTCATTTTAAAATGCATAAAAATATTAATATAAAATCAACCATTACAGATACCAGCAACACAGTTAATAGCACCCATCTCATGAAGTAGATGTACAATTTGAAGTTGGAACCAAGTTTGTTGGACAAACGGTACAGGACTAGTTAGATGCCAAAAAACAGCGGAATAAATAATAATAATAATAATAATAATAATAATGATAATAATAAAGAGCGAAGAGAACAAAAGTGTTGTGATATTAGTGTGTTATTAGTGTGAGAGCTCACACTAATAAACTTGTCTTGCCTTGTTTATGTGTACGGCAAACGCCCATTTCCACAAGACTACATTACCCATGATTCCCATCCTCTGGTATTTCCTATTAGGTATTGCTGACAGCCATATTTGATTCGATTATGCTGTTCTGGCTGCGACAACCAGTTTAGCCTGACAAGAAAAAAAAGGTCTTTTTCCTCTCTACGAGCTCAGCTTTACGGTTAACTAGCGACGAAATCCAGCTGCATTCACAGTAACAACAGTTTATAACCTGTAGTCAACGATGAATCCTGAATAGTAAGTTGGACTTTTGATGTTCGGTTGGTTATGACAGGTCCGGTTGAGCTGTCAGCGTAGCCGGGGAAGCTAAGCTAACAGTAGCTAACTAGCTAGCCAGGCGGACCGGTGTACAAAATGAACGTCAGCTGCTTTGTCTTCTCTGCTAACTTCGCTATCTGAGGGCTGTTGTGGGTTATGTACGTGCTCTCTAACGACAGCGTTGATGTTTATCTCAAAACATACATTTTTCAACATCTCCTAGTCAATATAACACCGATTAAATTGATTATTTGTTGTTTCGTCAACAACGTCTGTTTTAAGTAGCATTAGGAAGCTAACGTTAGTAGCAGGCTAGCCGAACAGCTACGTAGCGTTAACCTGACGCTGTTGAGGATTTTGTTTTGAGATTAGTTGCTCAGTTAGATGCATAAGGACAGTTTAATAGTTCAGGGCACAAATCCGTGTCAGTAAGCACGAAGCTAATCTTTTAATTAATCTGGGTAGATATTATTTTGCTGGTAATTTTAGTGTAATTTATCCACCGCAAACAGGAAGTTACAAAATTTGCTCCTGGAAAGGAGTTAGGTAATGTCAGAGTCTCTGTGTTACTACACTACAGGGCTGTGCAGTAATACACAAATAATGATAGTTATTGCGATATAATTATCCTCAGTAACAATATAATAAATGTTTGCTCATGATCATTTAAATCACGAACGAATTGGCACGTAATTAGTCTTATTGGGACATGTATTCTGTTGAGGAAAGGGGTCTGAAAAAGGATTTTACTTACTCGTGCATTTTTTTGTTGAAAACCGATTTTAGCACAACTGTTTTGAATGTTCTGCCTCAGAATTGTGAAGTGATCCACTGTTTGGCATCAAGTGTTTGTTCTCACCATAAAGAAAAGTTTAAAACCATAATTAACCCTCTGGATTCTTCAACTTTCACCAGGAGCAAAACAAATCATCTTTAAACCTGAAAGAAATAATGAATTGATATTATTGTAGAGCTGGGCAATAATGATAAACAAAAATAATGATAATTATTAAAAATTATTTATATTTGAGAAACTGAACCAGGGAATTTGGTGTTGGTGCTTGATAAATAAGCTAAGTGATTAATCTTCTTTATCAAAATGTTTGAACATAACATTATTTAGCTTGTCTTATATTGTTAAATATACAGTTATTAGTGGCAACTATTAAGTTTTATTGACAGTTGTGTATTGTTTGCTTTATTAAGGTACCTTTTAAACTCTGTACCAAAAAAAGACATAGCAATGTTTTTATTTAAATAATTACACAGCATAAGCACATTTTTGTTTTCCTTTTAACAAAATAATATAGTCCAATAATTAACAGCTGTACAAAATGTATTATTTAAATGAGACTGTATCTGATCAAAGAAACCGCTTTAAGAATCTGAAAACTCTCAGTGTCAACATTAATTCACTAATATAGCGCTTGTTAAAAACACTGAGTGTAATGTGATTTAGCGCCTTGCAGTTGTGATAATTGTGTGTTCATGTTTTCCCTCCCCTCTCTCTCCTCAGTGACTATTTATTCAAACTCCTCCTTATCGGTGACTCTGGTGTTGGAAAGTCTTGTCTCCTTCTCCGGTTTGCAGTAAGTGTCTCTTTTTCCAGCCACAGTTACACAGCAGGCTTTTATGTTTCTTCCCTGTCACAGTGATGGTTAATAAACCTACAGGTATCGTATCTACCACCCTGACCCACCTGTGTTTGTTTTAACCCAGGATGACACGTACACAGAGAGCTACATTAGTACCATCGGCGTGGACTTCAAGATCAGGACCATCGAGCTGGACGGAAAGACCATAAAACTTCAGATTGTAAGGAGAACGGGGTGTAACATGGCTGAAAATAGATAAGTACTGAGACACCTTGGATTGTGATTGTGTCAGTTTGGACTTGACGAGCTCTGCTTTCTCTTCTCAGTGGGACACGGCCGGCCAGGAACGGTTCCGGACCATCACATCCAGTTACTACAGAGGAGCTCACGGCATTATAGTAGTTTATGATGTGACAGATCAGGTCAGTGCCTCTTGAGGACAAATAACACTTGTTCTAAAGGCTTCTCTCACGACAGATATCCCCTCAGATGTCCAAAGTGCAACATCCAGTCACACAGTCATGCTGTTAATATTTTAATTTGTTTAGTAAAACAAGGTAGCACTTTTATTTATGGAAAATTAAGTGTTACAGCAGCACAAGAAAGGGTATTAGGCAGAGGCTATTAAAGTGGGAGGCGGACCTCCCCAGGGATGCTCCAAACAGTGTCGGGGTGGGCTAAACCGTGATATTTGCTTCTGTGTCGAGTCTACGCACGTAGCCATGCATTTATACTTGTGCGTTGGTGTCTCGTTCTGCAATTACACGCCAAAACGCTAGTTGGCGGTAGCATTATAACGTCTTGCGGCCAAGCCAGCTAATTTCCAGTTTAGGCTGCGGTTCCTATAGTCTTTTCAAATGTTATCGCTGAATGCGTCAAATTACAGGAAGCCGATTGTCTACTCTGCAGTTGCTTAAGAAAGTACTATTACAGACGAACAAAGAGCAGCAAACGTGAAGAACCTCTGCAGAGATTTCTCTGCATGGACCGACAATGAGGTGGAACTGTTACTGCAAGTAACACGGGAGTACAAAGAGACTGTGGCGGCGGGAAAGTAAATATGGAGACATGCACAGTACAAGTGTTATTTACACAGTATAAAATATTTTAATACAAACACCAAAACTAAAACTCTGTCAGCAGCATCGTGTTTCTGCTTTGCATGACTGATAAGAGCCAATCAGGAAGCCAAAAGTGAGCGTCCGCATTTTAAAAGTCTCTGTTTTCGCCTGTTGGGAAATGCTACCCTGGTGTTTTAAAACGGGGTCGGCAGCGTTTTCAAACTTCATTTTAGGAGTTCAGATTCGCCTTATTGGTCTGGACAGGAGGCGTAGCAAAAGGTGTGAGTTTTAAAGCAAAAACAAAGTGTGGATGGAGCCTTAGTGAATTGAAATGGAAAAGTTTCACATTAGTTATCAAAAGGATAGAGAAGCCTAAATGTGTGTGATTTGGTTAAAGAGAGAGTTCAGAGACAGAGTAGTTTTTATCTACCCAGAGTCAGGAACTTACACATTCCTGAGGACAGACCTTCTTTATGCATTTGGTCCAGTCTGAAGTAATATCAGATCTGTGATGGTGGATCAAAAATGAGTATTTACGAACGTTACAAAACAAACATTTTGTCTGTATAAATAGCATAGTATATAAATATTATATCAGGGACAATACTGGATCTATTAAACTGATATCAGTACTTTACAAACATTTTTAAAATTTAGATTATTAAAAGAATTGTGTTTAAGATACGTAGTGAGCTTGACATTTTACAGAGTGAAAGTAAACTTGTCAGCGCTCAGATCAGCTGTCGTACAAGGCGATACAGGCATGTCTGCGATAACATCAGGTGTTTATATGTCGGCCCGGTCGCTGCTTCAGTCTGGTCAGATTACAGTGATTCTGAAGGCACCAGGTGGAGTTGTTTGTTATCAGAGTTTGTTTACATTCAGGGTTTATCACCTTCATTGTGTTTATCCTTCACACCAAACAAACATGTTGAATGCATTTCCTTCATCATCAATCATTTGCACAGCTGTTTTCTTAGTGTGTGCACGAGAAACAAACAAACCTGCTCTTATAAACATAGCTCCAAAGCTCCCGACGTCAGCTCACCTGTATTTTGTACCTGAGACGTTGCTACTGTTAGCGTTAGCTGGATCTGGGGCGTCATTGTAGCTGGGAGAGCGCGGCACGTTCAACGCGGTGCGTTCCTTCAGATTCACGCCGTGTTGAATAAACGCTTCGTCATGTTGGAGCTGCTTCCTGCCTCGCACCAAACCTCCTTACTGCAGCTGCTGCATTCTGCTGTGGCCTTCTCTGTTTTAGTGAAGCTAAGCCAAACTTTGGAGCGTTTGCTGCGGTCCGCCACGGTCCAGGACTGGAAACAGAAGGACTCTCTTCTTCATGCTTTGTTAACAAATGAGGTGACGTTAGGTCGGCGTAGCGGCTCCTTTGATGGAGTGTAAATGCTCACTGCAGTTCAGTCAGGAGCTGAGACATGCAGGAAGTTAGGAGCCGAGGAGCAGAATCCAAACTCACGGGTCTTAATGAATCCACAGATTTTGGAAATGTGGTAACGGTTCCAACTTGGAAATGGTTCTCGATACCCAACCCTGCCAGCCCTACCCACAGTCTGAAAAAAATGTGTAAAAGTTAAAACATTAGGAATGTTTTACTGGCCTGGACTTTTTTCATGTTGTAACCTGTTCATTACAATCGTTCTCTTAATGTCGTTGATGTTTTTTGTCTGATTGAAGTGTTTAAACAGAGATCCGTGTAATGTATTAAGGGCTGTTGTCTTTCTGCTTCCCGTCCTCAGGAGTCCTTCAATAATGTCAAACAGTGGCTACAGGAGATCGACCGCTATGCCAGCGAGAACGTCAACAAGCTGCTAGTAGGCAACAAGTGTGACCTCACAACGAAGAAAGTTGTGGATTACACCACAGCCAAGGTAACACACAGGCACTTGCAGCACAACAGTAACTACATTTAGTGATCTCACTATTGTATCTGGCAGTTTCTGCAGCCGTTTGACAGTTTTTCGCAATTTCTGTAGCTAATAATATAATGAAATAAGCATTAGCAGCATTTTGCCACTGTGGTCTTACTGTCATGGCATTAGAAATGTGATGGGCTCGATTTTTTTGATCTGAAACATCCGTGTGCAAAACATAAACCTAACTGAGTCATGTCAAAAAGTAGGCGTTTGTATTTGTTATTTTTAGTATTGACATGTTTAAAGGTCATTCAGTCACAAAATAATTTTCTCTGGTTTAGCAGGCTCAACATGAGGTAAAGGTCGCTCCTCAAAATGACCTACTGAACCATTTTAATTAATATTTTCTGTAAATGAAAAGAACTTAAAGGCTGCATCTGCTCTACTCTGCTTATAAGAAGCTTTGGCAACCAGCTAAATGTTTAATAACTCTAAAAATTGGGTAATTAATGATTTGCTGTTTTGTGATAAAGTGGTACTCCACCCAAATTCTTTTGAAGATCAAACTTTCACTTATGTCCACTGAAACTTAATCCACTCCTGTCCATTTGTGATTAGAATATGGCTTCATTATCTGCTTTTTTAGTCAGTGGACAAGAAAAAATATAAAGCTATTTTCTTGTTACGGCATTAAATATACTGTGACACAGAATTTCCCCTCGGGGATCAATAAAGTAATTTTGACTCCGATTTCTGATATTAGCTTGCTTCTATTTGTTTAAATGATGTTTAACCATAATGGTCAAATTAACTGTCAAATTACAAACTCAAACTGTGAAGCCAACCACAACCCGAGCGAAATGACTCGTTTTTCAAACTTTATAAATGTTGAACTCAGTGTTGTGCATAAATGGTTATGATTATTGACGAGTTAGTAGCCTGCCCACCATCAAGGTTGGAGACTATCATGTAGCCTGGAGCATTTTTCTGGCACAAAGTTAATGAATAAAAACAACCCCAAATTAAAACAGCTGTAACTGGAATTAATATTATACTAGTGGTAAGTTATATACCATTATATGAAATTATATTGGATATAGTAACATAATGAATATTAATATCAAAATTACAGTTTACTATTAAATTAACAATATAGTTTAATTTAATGTTATATAGTATACTAATACAGTCATTTAGACTAGTTCCTCCTCCAGGTTGTAAGTTACCTTTGCTACACCGCCTACACTACTTATGTTATCCATCACTCAGTTTATTCTCTTCATCTTTGTTCCCTCCTGGCCTGTTTGAATTTTGTTGTATTGATCAAGTGGTCGATGAAAGTTGTCACACATATCATTGCAGGCAAGCTCACATTATCTAGTTTAAACCAACTAAAACACAAAATTACACTGTGTTTCACAGGATTTGCTGTAATGTTGCGTACATAAACGGCATAGCTTATGTAAGACAGTTGCTTTTCGCAGGAAATCTGACCAGCCCTTCACATAGAAAACTGTTGGCTCATACAGGCTGTTATAGGCAACTGAGAAAGTTGGTGAATGCCTCAATTTTTAGATTCCTTTTAAAAACTCTTAAAAATAAAAAATAAAAAGTCCCTTTTAAAGGTGTGTGGCTGATTTAATCGGTTAGCTCAAAGTGGCGCTGCAGTCTTAAATGGTCTTAAAAAGGTATTGAATTGTACTTCAGGATTCCTGTATATACCCTGTTATCTTTTAAGCCCAAAACACAATATTATTTCAAATGTATGACTAGAAAATCTTTAGCTCAAGGTCTGTTTTCTGTCTTTTTCTGGAGCTTTGACCTCCCAACTAATGCCCACGGTCTTCCTCAGTGGGTGGAGTTAGCTCAGTTTGCTCTCCATGACCACTGCGTAAAACCCTCCTGATAAAGAGATTCAGTTGAAAGCTCTGGAAAAAGCAAGCTGACCTTTTTTCTTGTGGACACCGGAATATTATTACCTCCAGATTAGATTGAAAGTTCATTCTTAACCTTGGAATCGGTAGCAGCCGTTTTTGAGCTTTCAGTCTTATCGAACTCAGCAAATAATGTTCACTCTTTTGCTCACCAGGAATTTGCCGACAACTTGGGGATCCCCTTCTTGGAGACCAGCGCCAAGAGCGCCACCAACGTGGAGCAAGCCTTCATGACCATGGCGGCCGAGATCAAGAAGAGGATGGGCCCCGGGGCCACGGCCGGCTCCTCAGAGAAGTCCAACGTCAAGATCCAGAGCAAGCCTGTCAACACCTCGTCTGGAGGCTGCTGCTGAGACCCGAAAAGACCGCCACAACCTGAATCCACCACCCCCACCCGAGCCCACGACCAGTCTCAATTTTACCATGCTCCACAGAGAGAGAAACCCAGAGAGAGAGAGGGAGAAAGAGAAAGAGAGGAGGAGGAGGGAGAGACAGAGGAGGAAGACTTTGAGTGGATCGGTTTTGTAATTGTGTGTGCAGCTACAACACCAGATTCCCACCCCACTCCTTTCAAAGTCAGCAATAGGACGGTAAGCCCACCTAAACCCACAGAACACACTGGGCGTTTTTTTTTTTTTCTTACTTTACCAAAACATACTGGAAAAAACAAAATGTGTACAATTTTTAACAGTGTGTAAATTTAACCAATGAAAGAGATCACATGTATACAGCTTTTTTGTTTTTGTTTGCCCTGCTCTTCATTTTGAGTTTGTTAAATGAGTCACTTTTCTAAAACTGAAAAAAAAAAAAAAGAAAACACAAAGTTGTCTTTATTTAGCTGTGGATTATAACAGCATGACTTCGGCCCAAATCTCCTCACACATATATATATATATATATATATATATATATATATATAATACAGTACTATGTAATATATATATATATATATATATATATATATATATATATACATACATGAATTAGTAAGCACTTCAAATGAAGCACATGCTTAAACCCAGCATCATGCATGTCAGGACTGATCACATGCTCCCTCAGCTGCGTGGGATCAGTCGCAGTCATGAAGCTGCAAGAAAACTACACCCAGGAAACACTCCGATAACGTCACCTGCTCCAACTTCACAGAGTCGCCCCGTAAAAATGATGTGCCAGTGCCTTTGTGGCAGGAGATTTACACCATATTTATGCCTTCGGTGCTCTCGTATTGTTGGCGTATTTCCCTCATATGCCCACAGTCGTGACTTCTTAAAAGAACCCACTTTGTATGATAGCAGTTAACATTCCTGTGTATATATATATATATATATATTTGGCTCCGTGTGTGTGCTCTGCTGGTGTCCACGATACAATAAGCATGTGCTACATTGGGAGACGTGACGTCAGCCATGTGTTATTTCTCTGCTAATGTTTTTCAACCGACAGCACAACCCGACGCAACAGGAGAAAACGAAATCACCATCCCAGCTCGAGGAATAATCTATAAACTGTATATATTTATACATAAATGTAGGAAGTGATTTGCAAAATTGTGTAGAGAGAAGCAAGTGAAGCGAATGACGTGATAAAATAGCTGGAGTTAGATATCTCGGCACGTGATTTGTGGCTGCGGACATGACATTTTTGTGGCACAATGTCTACTATTAAAACAATGAAGGAGATCTTTGATAAGTACTGGTCCTGGTGGTGTGTTTTTATTTCCTCTGCACACTTTCTTCACACTTGTTTGTCCGGTCTCAGTTCGACCTTTTGATTTATTTATTTTTTTTACAGTGTACCATAAGCTGAGAGGAATGATGATCTTTGGCCTAGATTTCTCAGGCGGCTGGTTTTGACACAGCAGCTTGTATTTTCACTCGGCCTCTAACAGGAAAACAAAAGAAAAATTCACCTTAAAGTTGGGTTCCTTGGTATTTTACAGTTGAGTTTCTGTTTATGGGTTCCAGTAAAAAGGCCAAATGATTTCAGTCCCACAATAACAACGCTGTAAATCTCTACATTCCCATTTTGTTATGTTCACTAACTACTTTTTAACTCATAGAGATCTGACAAGTTCTGGATTTTAAATTTTCAGAAGTTAAACTTGCATAAATTCATTGTGTTGACTATTTGAGACTTTTGTTAGATGTGTGTTTGATTAAACTTCAGTATGTAAGTTATAAAAGTTGAAACATGGACATAATCAACTAATTATTAGGGTTGAGCGAGTATCTGGTACAGATAATGTACTTTTTTACAAGTATCATCAGAGTAAAAAGTGTCTGTTTTCTAATAAACTGTAAACTGCTCTGTAAATAATTTTATAAAAAATATGGCAACTTCCGATCACCTCATACCAATTTTAACTACCAGTTAGTCCTGCCCACACCCATTTTATGCCCCCCTGTTCGAGTATGGATACAGATAATTAAATTTGTACAGAACAGAAACAGAGTCCTGTACTCACTAATCCCTACTAATTATTTAATGCAGGTAAGTCCTATTCAAATTCCAACCACAATATAGACACTTTTGTGGTAAACAAGAAAAGACTAGTGCCAAAGATGGAGGGAGCACGTGATAGCGGCCTTATACATGTAAAATTAAACAATTTGGAATGGAAAGTAGTATAAATGTGTTTAAGTTGTTTTAACGTGACATTGTGAGTTCGAGTAAAGGTGCATTCAGACGAAAAGCGAAGTGACCATTGGGGGCGATGCGTTTACATACAAAGTCGATGCGGGAGCTGTGATTTCCTGCCAGGCGGTGCGGAGGCCTTCGCGTTAGTTGAAAATGTTCAGCTTGAGCGAAAAAGTCGCACGACGCTGAGCAACAATAGCCTATCAGCGTTGAGACGTCACTGGCTGCAGCTTCAGAGCGTTGTGTGGAGAGGACCAGGCAGAGCGGGGGAGTCGCATGCCGCTGGCCGACGGAGAGCTGCTGAGCTGCGGGGGAAAGCTGAGGACAGAGCCGGGAGCAGCGCGCAACTTTTCGAGCTTCGCAGTTGTCGATAAAACCCACGCGAGGAAAGTGTTGAGAGGATTAAATTTGCGTTTGCGTCTTAATGCACAGAAAGGAGGAGGCTGTTTCTCAGGATGTAGAGCGGGTTGCCTGTTAATGGCAAGGTCAACGGTTCGATCCCCGGCTCCTCCAGGCTGCATGTCGAAGTGTCCTTGGTGGCTGTTCCACCAGTGTATGAATGTTAGTTTATTTTTTTGACTGTTTTTTTTAACCTTTATTTATTCCGGGGAGCTTCACTGAGAGGAAGCCTCTCTTTTGGCCCAGACAGAAGGCCCTGATCACATTCACACCTGGAGGCTGCACAACCGCAGCCTGGTCTGCTGGCCACTAAGCAGAATTTTAAACAGACACCAGTTCCTAAGCAGGCTGCATCTGCTCTGCTGTGCTTATAAAATGTTCTGGCACAACCTTAATGTTTTATAACTCTAATTGGGTAATTAAAGAAATTGACACTGTGGCACTTACCCCAAAAGTTATAAACACTCATATTTACACTAGAATATGTCTACATACACTGCTTTTTAGTCAGTGGACTGCTGAAGAATATTATAAACAAATGTGTTTTATATTTTACAAAATATTTCTACAAATACTAAGGTGCAAACATGAACAGGCAGAAAAAGGGACAATCTAACAACACAAGTTTTAATATATAAATCATAAAAGTAAGTTTTTCAAGAGCATATTAATCTAAATCAAGTGGCTTAATTACTTATAAATATTCATCACTGGACTTGTTAATTGATCTATAAAGTTCAAAAGTAAGATGCTCATCAGTCTGACTTCAGTTACTGTAAGTTACAACCTTTTTAGAGTAAAATATTTTTGTGTTTCACTGGCATTTCATATTAAACTAACTGCAACTGGAAGATGCCTATTTGATTTGGGTAACATACTACTAAAGCATAATATTAAGGTAAGATATGATAAGCCTTTATTGATCCTGGGGGGGGGGGGATCCAAGTGTTGGCAGCAGAACAAGGACAGAAGGGTATAAAGTAGAAGTAAGAATAGAAATAGTGAAAATAGAAACTATCCAAGAGCAGTTAAAATTACAAGGCAAGCAGTAAACATTCACCCAGTAGCCATGACTAGTGTTGTACTTAAACTAATACTGCAGTACTGTCACAAGTGAAGTGACAGTGGCATGAATAGTAGCAGCAAAGTATACTGTAGTACATATAAGAGTAATATGATACCATGTACTATAACAGCAGAATAATATGTAATATGATTAAGTAATGATTCTTAGTGTTTTTCTGTATTAATAGAGGAAAAAAAATAAAAATATTATATAGTAAATATTTGAATATAATTCAATTCAATATATTATAACATAGTATGGATATAATATATGGAAACATGTAATAATACTTTTTCAGTGTACATATAGCATGTGAGTATTGTATAAAAATATGCTTATAATATGAAAATTATTTTAGAGTTTTACATGCATTAATCCCATACAATATTTATATACTATATGTACATTTAAAGATTTTTAATACACCTTATATTAAACTTTTATATCCAGTACTATATTATTCTGTTCTATGCTATACTATATTTCGTTAATATGTTATACTCTTTATTATTAGATGCTGAATGATATTTCTGGATTATTTAATCACCTCACACAATGACATCCAGTTAATGTTTAGTTAATTTGAGCTACACATTAAAACTGCTATTAAGCTGGTGGTGGTGTAACGTGAAGTTACAACTCTGCACCAGCAGAGTGCAGCATTAACACAGTATCAGCTGGTGGTCACAGTCCTGCAGCGGTTCAGTTAGGCTGACCAGATGAGAACAGGTGAAATTAGGGACAGGGGAGTGGCGGGGGTGGGCGTGGCCTCCAGTACTTTACATTCCATGTCAACGACCAGTGAAACGCTAAAATGTATTATTTTTGGTTCAAAGCCAAGTGTCATTAAGAAAACCACACAACGTGTTGTATGTAACAGTGTATAAATCGTGATCTGTTTAATGTTATTCATTTCATCAGTGTGTGTCAGATCTTTGCTTGTCCGTGGCTGCCTGCAGCTACACTCCCTCTGTCCTTGCAACTGCAACTTCCACTGTCTTCAGCTACACTGGAAAACAGAAATACGCAGTAATACTAATATAACAATGCTGTTGACGCAGTGTCCATGATACCCTGCGGTCCCTGCTGCAGCCAATGTTGGAGAGTCCATTTGTAGGGAACACCAAAACAATGTTTCACAACGATCAGCATGTTTTATTATGCTTTAACTAATCAAAACTCAGGTTCAGTTTCACTTTTCAGGACATACAGGACAGGATTCATTATACGGGACATCTGGCCATCTATCAGGGTGGTACATGTACATGCATACAGCACATAGTTGCAAAGATATTTAACATCTACAGTAGTAAAAATGCAACTTACAGATGAATGTACCAAAAACATCATTTATAATAATAAAACACTGACAGGGAAGTTTTTTCTGTATAAAAAGTACTTTGAATTTTTATTTTTTAAGTACATGTTACTGCTGCTACGTGTACAGTAGGGGGAAAAACGATTTGATCCCTGCTAATTTTGTATGTTTGCTCACTGACAAAGAAATGATAATATTTTAATGGTAGATTTATTTGAACAGTGAGAGACAGAATAACAAAAAAATCTGATAACCGCTTGTCAAATGTTAAAAAAAATTGATTTGCTCTTTAATAAGTGAAATAAGTATTTGACCCCTCTGCTAAACATGATTTAGTACTTGGTGGCAAAACCATTAATGGTAATCACAGGTCAGATGTTTTGTAGTTGCCA